CACACACACACACACACACACACACACACACACACAGGGATCATGTGACTTTCGACTCAGCAAAGCCCAGGCTGTGTGTAAACTGACTGGATGCCTTTTTCAGACTGAACTCAAACAACAGAGAAGAAAACAAATCATAAAGCAGCTGAAATAAACCTGGAATCATCAAATCATGAAAACTGGCCTGTTCCAAATAAAAGTTATGGAGATAAAGAGTCAGTTTGAAAAGCTTCCTGTTGACACAGAGCTGTGAAGGAGCATCCCGAGAAAACAGAAGAAAGAAATGTATAAATATGTGAGTGTGAAGGCCAAACGTTCAAAATGAAAGAGGTAGAAAGACATAATAATATTATTAATGACCATATATCTATATATATATTTATCTATATATAAAATTATCTATATTACTGCAAGTAAACCTGTTTTTTTTCAGACTTTATGCACAAAACGTTAAACATTTATGGAGAAACCGTGGGGACAAAAAATCATAGAAACATAAATTAGGCCAATAAACAGGCCTCATAATAACCCTAAAGGAACCAAAACGGTCAAATAAGTCACAATACAACTAAAAACTGCAGTTAGCATGACTGAATCATTTATCAAATAATTAATTTAATACTAATATCAAATAAAAATATCTTCCAAAAGCTCCCATGTGATAAATGCACAGCTGACTTATGATTTAGTAAATAAAAATATAAAAAATAAATAAAATTCACTATGGAACAAATCAAAGTTTCATAAAAGTTTAAAGAAATGAAAAACAATAAAAACAGCACGTCGACTGAAACAGAAATTCATTCACAGCCTCAGTGACGGCGTCTGCGCGCGCACTTTGAATAAACCGTATTGCTTTGTGATGTTCGCGTCATCATCAGGCAGAAACTCTGCTTCAGGTTATTTCATCCTTTTTAATCAAGTTTAGTTTCTCTGGAAAAATAAAACACAGACAGCAAAGAAACAGACGTTACAGACTTTGTACAACTGAGTGATGTCTAACTACAAAAGTGCAAAAAAAGAATAAAAACCAAACAAATCCCCAAAAATCAAAAACAGTTTTTACAAACCCGGAAAAGTGACAGAAAAACCGAGCCGACAGTTTCCCCCAAAGTTTCCCCACAGACAGACCTGCAGTGTGTGTGTGTGTGTGTGTGTGTGTGTGTGTGTGTGTGTGTGTGTGTGTGTGTGTGTGTGTGTGTGAAGGTCAGCGTCTTCTGAGCTGCAGGAGGCTTTTATTTCACCGAGGTTACATAAGTTTGTATGTTTGTAAAAAGTAACAATAAAAAACAAAGTTGGCGATGTGTGTGTGTGTGTGGGGGGGGGCTTCCTGTTTCCTGTGCGCGCGCTCAGCTGTTTGAAGGATCCGACCTGCAGCTCAGTCACAGTAAATTCTGTTTATTTTACAATAAAAGATGTGAAACATTATGATCCATATGTTTGATTCCTGTTTCCTGTTCTCACCTGATTTATTTCCTTTTTTCTCTCTTTTCTGAAATTAGCTCCACGTTTATTCGACTTTTAAAATGATCACAAGCATTTTGTTGCATTTTATTTTTGAAAAGCTGCTTTTACTTGGATCCACCTGAGATCTGAGGATCAATACCACAGTGATCGGGACTGATTGTCAAACGCTAACGAATCGGCGGTTAGATTAAAAATAATTTCTGCTGATTAAAAATGTTTAAAAGTGTCGAACTCGCTCCTTTTTTCCTTTTGTTGGTTTACGTTGTTTTATTTTTTGAGCTAAAATATTTCAGAAACATTTTTACTGAGGAAACTGACTAAAATCATATCTGTATATAATAATACGTCCACGTGGCTCCGGTGGAAACACATTAGCTTTAAAAAAATAAAATAAAGACATAAAGAGTAACATTTTGGACCACGTGTTCGACTAAAGTCACAAAAAATACTTTTAAAATATTTTTCCAAATAACAAAAATGTGCAAAACCCTGGATTTTAATATATAAAGTTTTTTACATTTATTTTCCACATCAGCTTTTATTTTCACGAAAGCCTCCCTGTAGTGTGTGTGCGTGCGTGTGCGTGTCATCTTAAATGTTAAATATCTGCCCCTCCCTTCCTGCTGAGGTCAGCTGACCAACATTTTCCACATGACAAACTTTCTGTGGACTTTATTTCTCCTCAGAATATTTTTAAAAAATAAGTTGCATATATATGATTTCAGTTGGCCTGAAGCATCTCCAGGTTCATTGATTGTCATGCACGTTTTTAACTCTCCCCACGCCTCCGACTCCTCTGACTATTAAATTATTCGTTTTTTTAATGGCTGTCTCCTAAAGGTAACATAAAGTGACTCCATGGCTGTGAGGACGCTCTGGTTTTTGTTCATTTCATTATTTTAAACTCTTCTCTAATCAAAAAGAAAAAAAACATTAGAAAAGAAAAACATCTGGTGATAAAAGTTTTTCATATGACCAAAGCTACATGTAAATATGCCTTTATGTGTGTGTGTGTGTGTGTGTGTGTGTGTGTGTGAGGGCCTGATGCTTGTTGGAGCCCCTTAAAAGGAAAGAAAATAGTCCCAGCAGCAGCACAGAGGCCTCGAGCCTCCGCGGGTCACTTAAAAATGTTCTCCAGGAACCAGAGCGGGTCAGCGGGCCAGAAAAAAAGCGAGAAGACGGCAGAGAAAGTTAAAAGAAGAAGAAGAGGGGCTGTGCGGCGGCTCTGAGCGCACATGCGCAGGAGCTTTTACGCTCATTCAGGCCTTTACGCACAAACACACACACACAGCAAAATAAACGTTGTGAACAGTCTGCGTGTTGATGCTGAACAAAACAACGTGTTTGCATAATTTCAGCTGAAGAGTTTGTTCCAAAAACATTTACACACATTTCTGGATTCAGTGATCACGGAGGCCGAAAAATACATCAAATTATTTTTGGAAGGAAACTCTTCACACAGCGCGGCTTTAACACCATTATTTAATCGTATTGTTCTGATTCAGAGGTCGAACCTGAGATATGATTTGTAGGCTTCTGCTTCCTCTCAAAAACCCTGATCGTTTCCAATTTTAAGGCTTTGTTCACGTTTTTCCTCCCAGTAAAACACAAAATAAAAGTTTTGATTGTCTCGTTTTTTTCCTCCTCGATTGTCTCAAAATTCATAAATAATTATTCACCCTGCGTGTTTCCAGCCCCACCCTCGTTTTCCTTAATACTGAAGCGCAAACACTGACGAATAGAATTTAAATACAATAAATACAAAACATAAATAAACGACAAACAAAGTACTGAAAATCTTTGTACAAGATATAAATAGTTTGAAATATACTTATAGCGTTACCTTTGGCAAGTCTAGTTTACAGTTGGACGACCGGCGGTAACAAAAGTTTCTCCCTTTTACAGTAAAGATGAAGCCGAGCTGTGATCGCATCCGTGTGGCCCGAAGTCTCGCTTCGTTTGTGGATTCATACACACATTTCTGATGTTTACCACTTTCTATTTGCCCTTAACTGTGCGTCCTCGTCCCGGTGCAGTCCACGAAGCCAGGGTGTGTGGGGGTGTGTGCGTGGGGGGGTCAGTTTAGGAACGCGTTAGGGGTCACCCTCTTTTGGTGGGACAGCACTCCGGGGAACCCCGCGGACACACCGGGGGAGAAGGCCGGTAGCGAGCTGTTTCTGAGCGAGTCCGAGAGCAGCGCCTGCGGGGAGCCGCCGAAGCCCGGAGCGCCCTGCGGGAGGTGAGGAGGCGGCGGAGGAGCCGCGGGCGGCGGGCCGCCTCCACCCCCCGGCGGGGCCGCCGAGTGCTGGCTCCCTGACACGAAGTATCCGGGCTGACCGGACAGCAGCCCGACCGGCGACGAGCTCATCCCGTAACTGTTCGTCAGGCCCAGCGGCAGCGAGCGGCCCAGCTCCCCGTTACTCAGCTGCTCCACGGCGGGCAGCAGCGAGCCGTAGCCGGCCGCCTGGTTCAGGAAGCCGGCGGACGAGCCGTTGTAGTGCGGGTGGTGGTGGTGGTGGTGCAGGGACAGGAACGGGGACAGCTGCCAGTACAGCGGGTTGCTGCTCCGCTCGTTGATGCCCAGCCCGAGAGGAGCGAAGCGCAACCCGCGCTTCATCGCCAGCTTGCCCCGAGAGGTGGCGGAGCGCCGGCGGAGCTTCCCGGTGGTCCCGCCGATGAACACGTCGTCGCTGCTCGGGTCCAGCATCCAGTAGTTGCCCTTGCCCGGGTCGTCGTAGTGCCGAGGCACCTTGACGAAGCACTTATTGAGGCTGAGGTTGTGCCGGATGGAGTTCTGCCAGCCCTGCTTGTGCTCTCGGTAGTACGGGAAGTTCTTCATGATGAACTCGTAGATGCCGTTGAGCGTGAGCCGCTTCTCGGGGCTCTGCCGGATGGCCATCATGATCAGCGCGTTGTAGCTGAACGGAGGCTTGTCATACTTCCCGTTTTTGCCGCCGCCGCCGGTGTTCTGCTCCGGTGTCGCCTTGCCGCCGTCCCCTCCTCCGCCTCCGCCTCCCCCTCCGTCCTCCTCCTCTTCCTCCGGCTCCTCCTTGCCAGGTTTCTCCGGCTCTAGAAGCGTGGAGGCCGCGGAGTCCACCTCCGGGGGGTCCAGAGACTTCTCGCAGTCGGAGCCCGGGGAGAGACACGGGGCTCCGTGGATCGCGACCGTCGCGGAGTCCGCACGCTCGCACTTGGAGGGCAGCAGGAGGCTCTTGATGCTGAAGGAGGAGGACCGGTGCACGGTCGGCGGGTCTTTTACATCCTCCATGCCCGGTGGCGGCTCTCCCGACAAAACCAGGAATAAATAATAAAAAAAAATGAACAACCACAACAACAACTCCGAGGTCCTCCACCTCCGTGATCCGAGAGAGAGACAGAGAGGAGAGAGAAAGGAGGCTCAGGATGAGAGACGCATGGATGGAGAGAGAGAGAGAGGGAGGGAGGGAGAGAGCGTGGCGTGGATGTGGAGAAATTAGTAATTAAGGAGGTTCCGACGACATCACGGAGAGGAGGAGCTTCCCCAACTTGGTGATTTTGTCAACAAATCCTCTTTTCTCCTCCTCTCGCTCTCCGCGCGCCTCCGTCTCCAAACCTCCGACCTTTCCTGTCTCGAGCCTCACAAACCTGTCACTTCATCTGCTCCCCTTTAATCTCTCTCTCCCCATCGTTCCATATTTACGCGCGCGCGCACAGTTCCCTCCACCGCGTGTGTGTGCGCCAAGCCCGTGCGTAAAAGCGCACGTCCGCTTTTGGGTGTGCGCGTGCGTAAAAGCGCACGGGCAGTCGGGGCTTTGTTTTCTCGGCGACAATAATAGTTTGAATTCATGTCGGCAAACATGGCGCGTGCACGCACAGTGTGTGTTTGCGCGCGTGCGTGTGTGTGTTTGGGGATGGAGAGGAGGAGGAGGGCACCGAGAGAAGCGCCATTGTCTACTAATAAAAATCATCGTGTCGGCAGTAACGCGCACACACAGCAGAGGCGGCGGGTCTCACGCTGGAGCCAGAGCGCCTCCTGTCGGCAGCAGGCGGGACTGATCCATGTGAACAGTTGCTTCCGGTGTCAGTTTGTGTGCCGCAGACAAAGCGACCATCAGAGGGTCATTACATGCAAAACACTTTATTCAAACAAGCTGTCAACATGTAAAAATAATTTAACATTTCAGACATTTTCACTCTTGTGAAGCATTTTTAACAACAAAGATCAGTTCTCTGGTTAATTTATTAAACCACGCCCCTGCAATATTTGCAGTTTCCTAAAGCAGAAACTCTTTTCACACAGAAGGTTGTTCTTTTTTAGGGTTTTTAAAATAACATTTCTATAGAAAAAATGTAATTGTTTATTAAGTACTTATTTCTTTGGTAATGTGTGGCTGTGGAGGAGATATTTGTCAGCAGGAAAACTCAGATAAAAGTCCAAAAGTTTTCCTAAACATTTTCCAAAGCGGTCCGATTGGAGTCTTTGCCCGGCTCATTCTGGGCCCCGGGCCTCATATTTTGCACCCTAGTGTCCACTGGGTCAGACTGGAACCTTTGGCACGTTTGTTGAAGCCTGCCTGCATCGGTGGTGTCTGACATGTGGCTCTGGAGCCAGAATCCGGCCCAGCTGATCGTTTTTAAGTGTTTTTGTTGTTTGAGTCCAGCTTTTGTTTTGGTTTTTTTGTCGTTGAGGTTTTTGCTCCCTGTGTTTTTATTGGTCGCCGGTTCCTGCTGTTATTTTTATGACTTCTTCTTGTGTTTCTTGTTCCTTGCAGCCATCAGGCTGTTTTAATGGTATGACTGCAGACCAGCAGAGCGTACGGTGACAGTAAAGCTCATCTGTTCTTCGTCCTCTTGCTTTATTTTGATCATGCTTTCGTCTGTGTCTCTCGTGCTTCTACTTCCTGTCTTTCGCTTCACCTTTTGTTTTTCTGGTCCACATTCCAGCCTCTCTCAGCAGACTTAATCCATCAGTCCAGCTTGAAAGAACTTGTAGTGAATTTGTTCCCCTCAGTTGAAGAAGCTGATCCCAATTTGAAAGAGCTGCAGGCAGTTCAACCCCCCCGACTGCTGCAGTGACTGAACCTGATCTTTATATGCTCATTATCTCATATGTACATTTGTGGACTTATTCTGCGTGTTTGTGTGTTATTAGTCTTTGTAACCGCTCCTGATTGAACTGTTATAAGAGACTTTTAGTCTGTGTCGGCTCTCAGTCACCAGGATCGTGAGAAAAGGCAGCTGGAGGACGTCTTTTGTTTGCTGAAGTTTTCTTCAGTTCTAAAGTGTCCCGAGTCTTTGAGGTGGTCCGAGGGTCTTTGAATTAACATTAATCATGTGAGTGGTCACATGAGCCAAAGTGTGAAACAAGGCTTTTAATCTGAGGGGTTGTATAGTTGTGTTACCGTCTGTGCCAGCTTCACCACACAGGAGACATTCAAAGACCAAAAACAGTTATTTGAATCATAAAGATGTAAAATATTAATCAGTTACAGAAACTCGACATGTGAAGGTTTTTGTGCCGTTCTCTGTGAGGAACTAAAACGAGTTGGACGATCCTGCTTCAAACTCCAAACACAAAACTAAACCTTTGCACAGCACAAGGCCCCGTGGCTTGTGTGTGTGCCTGCAGGAAACCTGAATATGTGATCAGGAATAAATCTGTTCGAGGGCTTTTAAATAAATGTAAATATATATTTTTGCAACAAACACAGAAACACACACAGATTCGCTGCTGACTGATCACAACACCTGCAGCCAAAAAAAGCAAAATTGTTAATTTAAGAAAAATAAGTAACATCAGGTTAAAAGACGAAAGTTGCACCACATTTGCTCAGTACTTATAAAAGATGTGTTGAAGTCACGCGCATCCACAGGACCAAACGTCTGAGCTTTTAATGTTTAATGATGCACATCAAAGTAAAGAAGCTCCGCTCATGTTTAAGTTAATTTTTCAAGTTCTATCGTAAAATCGACGCGTTTTGTAGACGGACTCAGGCGCAGACCAGGAGACCTTTGCAAAAACTGACAGTGCGTTTATTTACAGTGACGTCACCAGGTCTATGCAACGTGTTGGGGAGAGCGGCCCGGAGTCCGAAAACACACTCCACTCTCTCAGCAACGATCCCACTGCTTTTCCTCCAACGCTCCTCTCGCTCACTCAAAGATACAGCGACGGGTCCCGGGAAGATCCCCCCCCCCCCCACACACACACACACACACACACAGAAAAATCCGATTAGCACGAGGTCGCACGGAGACCAACAGCCTCAGACTTGCTGATCACAGAATAACTGATGCTGGTGGTTCAATGTTCCAGTGACGAGCAGCAGGTCTGCCATCCTAAGAAGCCCTTCTGATTGTAGCAATCAGCTACAGGTGTGATGACGAGCACAGGTGCGTGGGCCGGGGGCGGGAGCCCACAGTGAGCACCGCTGCGGCAGGGGGGAGAGAGAGAGAACAAAAACGTGTTTCTAACACGGACTCAGCCGGTGAGGCACCGGGACAAAAATGGAGGAAAACAATTTATTTAAGTGATGTAAACTTAACGTTTCAGATCTGTCTAAATAAACAGGACAGGAGCTGTCTTAGGTTTCTGTTTTAGGCTTCTTGTCTCTGTTGTGTTTTAATTGCAGTGACTTTAATAAAACTTGGGCCCGTGTGAGATGAGCCAACAACACGAAACCTAAACTACAAACATACCTGTCATGACTGAAACTGAAACATGACTGAAACTGAAACATGACTGAAACTGAAACATGACTGAAATGGGGAAAAAGAACTCAAAATAACATTTTAATTATGTATATTTATTAAATATATATGAAATATAATACCCTGCTGTTTGCTTTTAAAAGTTACAAACACCTGTTCACAGTATTTACGTTGTGTCCCACAGTCCGCACGGTTTACAGGAACACTTTTCTGCACATTTGAATATCTGGAAAACAAATAACTGCGATTAACTGCTCACTGCATGGTTCATGTGGGCTTTAATTCACCCTGTAAAGCCAAGTGTATCATAGTTAAGTTTTTGAGACTTCAACATCATCAGTGTGATTTTTCTTTCCTAAATTAAGTGGACAATATGTTTTATGCAATAAGTTGCAAAATGAAAAAGTAAAAAAATGAAAAAATAAATAAATAATCTTAATGTTTAATAAACATTCAGTTTCCCCAAAATTCAGATTTTCTGGTAATTATTTTATGGTTCAGACTTTAAAAGGTTTTAAAAGGAGGACATGTTACATAAACTTCATAGTGTGCATCCAGGTGCTGTTTCTCTGAAGCAGCAGACTAAGCAGGCCTCGGCCTCCCTCCTCACCTCCTCACCTCCTCCCTCTCCCTCCTCCCTCTCCCTCCTCACCTCCTCCTTTTGGGAGCCAGTCGAGAAGTGTAATCTGCACGTTCTCTTTTCATCAGAAGCTCATTTTCAGCACTTACATAGAAACGTAGATCGAAAAGTAAATCAGCAGATTGTGTTTTGATGCTCGGCGCTCGCTTCATCACAACAGAGCTGTGCAGCATCTTAATCCCTCCACCAATCATCCCTGACCCGGAGTCCTTCCCGTCGCTTCACGCTCAGCTGCTAACTGCGGTGCGAGCTGGAGGAGATCTTTCAAATAAGTCAGAAGAACCACATCATCAGCAAACAGAGACACGAGGCCATGGAAGTGGAGGCACTCCACCCTTCAACTGCGCCCGGAAATAAAGGTTCTGAACGGAGGTGAGTTTGACACCTGCAGGAAACAAGTCGGGCTTACTGCTGGAAATGGACCCGAGCTCCCACTACAGCTGCACAGGGACGGGGTAGCCTGACAATGGGCCCCGATACCCAAAGCAAATCAGATCGATCTCTTTGGGAATGCGATCAGATTCGAGTACAGGAAACATGTTTGTTGGATAAACTCTGACACTCAAATATTCTGCAGAGCTGCCGAAGTTTAATAGATGGACCAGAAAATAAAAACACAGGATACAAACTTGGTCTTGAAGTCATAAAATATCTTTAATAGTAAATACTTGCAGTAAATTTCCTGGATTTATTGCTCGACGTGTTTCGTGCAAACAAAACGGAACTCAGGTTTTACATTCACACAACAATCCCGGCACGAACGCTGGCGCGGACGCATTAATCACCGCAGGAGTCTCGGTCACGGCGGCCTGTTGACAGCTAAACCTTTAAGCTGTTCTTGGCCACACGGACACTGGGAACCATCGCACACATCCACAAGACCGTCAACATGTAAACACAACACACTGATTAATGATTACAACAGGAAGTTACAGGTTTCAGGTGTTTTCGTGGAGCACCTGAGGTTGTTAGAGTTCACTCATCACATATTACAGACTCGAAACAAAACAAACCGCTGAAGCCGCTGAAAGCTGGATTTCTTTCATATTTCT